ACAAATAAAATTTTAAAACATAAAGAAATACAATGACATTGAGACTTGTGTTCTGGTCTAGTGTAACCACCAGCTTCCTCTATTTTGGACAAGTCACTTGATCTGGCTGAATTATTGTTTCATCCTCTGTACTTGAAGAGCTGGGGTCCCATGGTTAGAACTTTGGACTTGAAGAGTTGAGGTCCCAAGGTTCCTTTCAGGTCTTAGAATTTTATGAAAAAAAAAATCAAGACAATGATGGCATCTTTTTTCATCTCAAATTAATTATGGAAGGTGTTCAGACCTGTTTAAATAATATTGTTGCTTATAGTTATTAGAAATTCTTTTATGATACTTGCTTTTAGTTAAGTTTTAAAAATTATTTTTATTAATGCTCACATGTGTTTTCTTGTTTGAATTTAATAGCTGATTTGAATTGCCCCTGTCTCCTAAATGATTGTTCACTTTCCTTTTTTTTCTGGGTCTTCTTTTCAAGGCCGAAGCTTGAATATCAGTGACACAAATATCTGAATAGCTCCTAGAGCACTTAGGGGCAGTACGCTCTACAACTACTTGAAATGCTTAGTTAGTCCTTCCGCGCATTCTGTTCTACTGTTTTCTCTTTTTTGTTTTCATCTCTCTTTCTCTGCACTCTGATGCTTAAAGACTTCCTGATTTCCAGAGGTGTAAGAGCACTGCTCAACAGCAAAGTCAGTATTCCAGAGCACGTTGCTGTCTCCTGCTCCAAAGGTAATGTACGGGAAGTGCTAGACCCCGTGCTCAGCCCAGCACTTTTCACAGAACTGGCAGTCAACAAATGGAGCTCCTTTTCCCTAAGGGTAGACATTTCCCATTCGATTGGTTTAAATCTTCTTCACTTGTTATGGCTTTCCCTAGGTTTATAAAAAGATTATAGGTTTTGTCTGGACTAAAGAGTGGAGTGAGTGGATGAATCAGACATACCTGGAATCTCTAGTTCTTACATGTCTCTGTTACCTTGTCCTGTCCCAGAGCAGCTGAAGTGGCCAGTTCTGCATGGGCTCCAACATATTTCACGGACACAATCTGACCACACCCACCTCCTGCTCTGGAGCTTCCTTGCTGATACTGAGATATAAGACCCCAAAGGAGCTTCTGGGCATTTATGCAAGTACAATCCACAAGTCCAGATGCAGGGAGAGGAGGAACAGAGGACTGGGAGCTAGAAATTTCCACTCTGAAGAACAAATCTACGACCAATGGAGGCTAGATCAAGCAGACAAATGTTTCCCCTTTTCTAGACTTAAAGAGATTTTCCACTTTGATAGTGAAGATTTGGGTTCTTTTTCACCTGACAAAGTGAGTTGCATTTGATACAAGCTCTGTAGAACATCCAATTATTAGTTCTTTTGTTCTTCTCTGCCTCATTCGCTCTCCCTCACTTGTGTTTGCCTGGGTTTGCACTCTAATAAAATATTCATACTGAAGCTTTTGTTTTAGGCTATGCTTCCTGGGGAAATCAAACTAAGATATTTGTCAATTTAGACAGCATTCATGAACACATAGAATCATTTATGATCTGATGAGTTGCAACAGAATGAAATATATTTGTGCTATGTGACATTTAAGATAGTGGGAGATTACAGAGGTCAGATGTATTAACTAGTTATCTGTTCCTGCTCTAGGCCCACCATAATTTTCTTAAATTTAATGCTCTATGGTATGGTAGAAATACGTTAAGTTAGAAAAAGCAGCACACACAAGTTCATAAGGATTTTCTCTTTTCAATTTGGTAGATAAGAAAGAGTATTTCCCAAATGTGAAGGGCAAAAATATTGCTGAAACCAGATCTGTCTTTTATACTTATTTTTACTTATAGGTAGTAAGAAAGATTTTCTTACTACCGATCTTTGTAGAAAAAGCAAGAAGCATTTTAAAGTGAGCATATCTTTAAAAATAATCTCACTGTTTACAAGAGCAAAGACCTGGAACCAACCCAAATGCCCATCGATGATAGACTGGATAGGGAAAATGTGGCATATATACACCATGGAATATTATGCAGCAATCAGAAACGATGAGTTTGTTTCCTTTGTAGGGACATGGATGAACCTGGAAACCATCATTCTCAGCAAATTGACAGAAGAGCAGAAGATCAAACACCACATGTTCTCACTCATAGGCGGGTGTTGAACAATGTGTTCTCATTGTTCAA